AAAACAATAGTCCAATACATTCGTCAACATAAACATCACTAATATAAATTACATTTTGTCGTTCATATAGGCATCTTGGCCCGATTTTACTGTTCAAAGTTTTCTGTTTTTGTCGATGTCCTCTGTTGACTTTTGCAACATTACAAATTTGTACATGTTCTTTGCAATACTAAAAGTTGTGATTTTTGAAGTTGTTTCAATATATAGATGTAATTTTATTTTGACCATTTCTATTCATTAAATGACATTATTTATTATGAATACTTTTTAATAGCCCAGAACTTACATATTTAACTGCTCTATCCCTAACATTGACTGTCAACCATTACCAGTTAAAAATCCACCGACACCACTAGGAAATTATTAATTACTGATCCCTTAGCACCCAGTCACCAGCTGTCACGTTTGCCGGAAATATGGATTTTACACTATAGCGCCCTCTAGAGTATACATTTTTCTTCTTCAAATTTTCAGCTTGGATGGTCGTGGCCAACACAAATTGGAATAGGATTTGCGGGAAACTTTACCAAGTTACTTGTTGTGATTGTTTTACAATACGGAATTGCAAAATCATTGTTTCCATGTAAAAAAGTTCAGGTGTCCCGATTTTCTTTTTTGGTCTTTTGTAATTGATGAAACATCCGCTATGAGAGAGCTCAAAACACACATACTACTGGATTCCAATATCATGAAACAAAATATATAATTTGCAGCCATGCTACAAATGACAATGGAAAATACAGGATTTGTTCGATTAGAAGAGCATGTGCTTACATAAATGATAAATTCAAAATAAGTCATTTAATAATGATCTAGTACACAAGTTAAAGGACTGAAAACACAACTCGTATATTTTTTGTCTTTTGTGCCTTTTTTTATGGAGACGCGCATCTAATAGAGCAAATACAGTGTTTCTTGCACAGTGCGTGTTCAAATTATGTGTAAAAAAATGTATTTTACAAGTGTTGTATACCTGTACGAGCCTCGTATCAAACATCACATATCCCGATTGTTAATAGGAAGTGCTTTACTTTCTTGACCATGCTTTTATTTTTTCGATGTTAATATTAATTGAGAGAGCATCATTTTGAAGTGCCGACATCACATATACTTTTATTCATATTATCCCGTAACATTATAGTTTAGTGATAAATACATACATCACATGGTTTGGCCCAATACATTTCCTCCATCAATCAGAAAATTGTTAATGTAAGTTTTTTCTCAATGTTTCAATGACACAAATTATTCTCAGAGACCATCAAGTATAAAAAGAAATTAGGCAATGCAAATACAATCATAGTGCCCCACCCCCACGTACAGTAGTCAATGATCCCACCTTCAAGTTGCCCAAACAAGCATGGTCAAACTATGTCCATACTTGGTCCATAGATAGAGTGTACAAAGGAATCGCATACTAGGTCAATAATCCCCCCCCTCAAAGGAATTTTTACTTTTATAATACATTACCGGTACTTTGACAATACTGAATCAGTGAGGGCGCATCTTTCAAGTTGATGTGCATTCAGATCAGAAGAAATATTTTTTTTGTGCTTGTCCAATCTTTTCTGATGAAAGAATTTAAATTTATACCAACATCACTGTTCTTGTTTAGTTTAGGGCAACTTTTGTCAGCTACTGAACAGGTAGCAAAGACTTGGATGTATGTTCTGAAAGCTGAAGACCGGAGCATGTTTAATAACAGTTTGCAAAGTGGAGTTTATATGACTAGACATCCCTAGAATGATACAGAATCGATTTTCACTAAAATATATAAACACATTAACATATACTAGATCACAACACAAAACAAAACACACTCAGTCTTAACATTTTATGTCAACACAATTTTGGCACAGTCATCAACTTCAAAAAGATCAAAATAATTTACAAGAAAAGTACTGTAGTTTACCGGTAAGTATAATACCGGTAATCCAGTTATTACATTTTATTTAAGTAAAAGCTAAACATTTGTTGGTACTAGTAGAAAGTTTCCATTTTTTCTGAAGTAATACAAGTATACAATTGTAACTATGGTAACACATTTATCTGTTTTATATAACTTTGTATGTAATAAATAGAAAAAATCTCTCACTTCTACAAGGATATCTTGCCAAGTACAATCTAGTTGCGTGTTTTCACTGCAAAACCCATAAGAATAAAACATTTGATTATATTTTAAAGTCACAGTCATTCAAATTTTGTGTAATTAAAATGTTTATACATGTCAAGGGATCCACATCAAAGACACCATTGGTGGCGCTGTTTTGGGTAGGACTGTAAAATGACTTATTTTCACTGGGTTTAAATTTCGCTGATTTACCATTTCAGGCATATTCAGTGGGTTTTAAATTCACTGTTTTATCATTTAGATAATGTGTTCTATGCTGAATTTTACATATTCACTGGGTTTTAATTTAGTGCATTTTCCAGTCAGCGAAATAAGCAAAATTAAAGCCCAGTGAATAATTAATCCTTTTACAGTATACCATATTCACCATTTGAGCACCAACATTTTTCCTACCAACATTTTGGTGTAACATTCTGCCTATTTTCAAGTATTTTTTGCTCATTTTGGACCAATGAACATAATTTTCTATAGCTACAGATCTTAATCCACATTTTGAGAAGAAAAAAATGATTTTGCAAATGATGACAAAGTTGAATTTGGCATTCAAAGGGTTAATTGTTACAAACAAGTTTCCCTTTCATGAGCATGGAACATTTAGTAGGAATATCTAACTACATGTGTACACCGATTATTAAATGGTTTCATCCACTAGATCTGACATTAAGCACCTCATCATTAGCTACCTAACAAGGAACTAGTATATGGCGCCATCTAGAGTCTAAACAAAACACTTTTCAAACCTTCAGCCTTCAGCCTATTTCAACAAACTTTTGAACACGCTTTGAGGATATTATAGGACTTGGATCTAACCAGTGATGTATATGTATTCATTTATTTATTAAGGTAACAGCTACTTTCATTGGGAGCAACAAATATTACATCATGATGGGAAAAACATAAATGAAAAAGCTGCTACTTAACTGACTGCTGCATCAGTGCTACTGTTTTTTTTTCATGTTTGACTAACTTTTCTGTGGATGTCAATATCATGATTAAACTGTTTTTATTGATTTGAAATTCTTTTTATTCTCAAGAATTCAGTGTCTAGGAAAAAAAATGCCTCCAAAGCAAATGACATTGTAGACACTGACGTAACATGTCAATGGATCCTTCACAATGTTTTCTCTATGTTAGCGATTTCTTATGGACACAAGAGCCACTGATCATGCATAAATAGATGGCTAGCTTTATCCCTTGGTGGAGATGAAAGTGACATACCATGTTGCAGTGAAATGAAACGAGTACAACATTGAAAAAGAGTTACAAGGCCCAGTACATCAGGTTCTGTTATTGATTCAATCTGAATAAAAATTTCTGCAGACAAAGCTAGATTGACTTCTTCTCTGTGTATTCAACTTGGCCACCTTTAAAGCAGTATTGGCAACAATATTTTGCTTGTAGCCTTTGGCATGTGAAATAAAATGCATAATAACAAATGTAACATACTGTTTCCTTTTTTGTTAAAATTTGGCAACCAATCATAAAACCAATTGGTAAATTAAACATGCTTATTTCATATGCACATAGTTCATAACAAAGGTTATGATTGGATGTTGAGTATAGCTGTTAGGGGGAAAGTACATCTTCCACCAACAGTGAAATCTGTTTTTTCAAGACCATAATATGACATTTTCAATATGAATTACAGTTCATAGTGCTGTTGATGAGGCCTTTCACAGCAGCTATAGTACAAGGCACCAGTTCTTCCAGTACATTTAATCATCAAAGTCCTCTATAATAAGCTCATCCTCGCTACATTCATCGACAACAGTTTGGAAATCAGACTGGTCAATATCTGTGTTCTGACTGGATTCTATTTTGCTGACTTCATCCTCATCATCATCAACCTCTCCTGTGTCTTGTTCATTTAGTTTTTCAGGCTGTGTTCTAACGATAAAAAATAAGAGATGATGTCAGCAATGATGTAAGTTTTTGATACATTCGATGTACAATATACCGGTACATAATCCATGCATTTACAACTGTGCAAATAAAAATCATGTGTAATTGTAATTTTTAACACTTTTACTGAAATCATATCCCTATGCAATTTGACATACATTTCCACTTCTAGTCAGTCAATAAACAGGTTGCAAAATGAAATGCCAAGCTGCCTTGGCAAATAGTAATACAACAACATTTGATGAAGGCCTCCGTCAATAGCATAGATATGAATGATATATATGTATAACAGTGCCAGGTATGAATGTCAAGAAGAAATCAAAATGGCTGCCTTAGGTGTTGTGCTCCCTCTATCAGTAGTAAATGGCAGTAAATAGAAATTAGTTTTCAACAATTATTAAAAATCACAAAATGAATTAGTAAAAATAATGTTATGATGCAAAATGTTCAGTAGTTCCACTTTCTTGCTTTCCTTTCTATTTATCATATTTACCGTATTTATCCGGGTATAAGCCCAGGGTCTTGAACATGGAAAATTGCCAAAAAAAAGGGGTGGGCGTTTGCCAGGAGATCCCCGGCAAAAAAAATGAAAATTCGTGAAAATCGGCAACACAGTTCGATGGAACTGTGGCAGGGAATAGAACGGCAAATGAAAACATGCAACGGAAATAAATGAACAATATGCAACACTTGAAGTAGAACAAAAATAATGTATTGCTTATAATGTCACAAAAAACCAGAAATAATAAAAATCGACAGTGAGGAATCATTTGAATTAGGATTTTCCCGCCGCCCTGACAAACACGCGGGAAATCAAAATTAATTAAAATGTCAGGGGTTAAACTGCGTAAAATGATTTCCGGTCTCGACAAATTACGCATCAACCGTCATACAATATCAATAATAATTTACAAATTTACACAGTAAAAATTATAAAAATTCATAGCTGTTTGAAAAAAACTTCTCAGATCTTTATTTGTACGTTCATTGCCATCTTCGTCAAACTCAAAACCCTCAAAGTCCAAGTCGGTGTCACTGTAGCCGTCGAACAAAATCCCTACAACTTATTCCTGAAGTTCGTCGATATCGTCCCACACAATTTGGACTTAGCACTTTTAATCCACGGATTTCGCAGTCTGTCAGCTTGGCACTTTTCATTCATGTCTAATCATAATAAAGAGACAAGAAAAATGGGGTCGCTCTGCTGCGATGGCACACAATGCTTTTGTTTACATCTGCTTTACTGATTGGCTAATAATGACATCACTACTAGTATTTCATCATAAAGGTCAAATCGTGACATTACTTTTTTATCAGACTCAACGCTTATTAATCACGGTGAAAGTTATCATTCAGCAAGTTCCGGCAGTTGGAATGTCTCACTATATGAATATCGCAGTGGACTTGAAATAGGAAGTTTTTTTTTATCCAACGACAGAAGAATGTTTTCATGACGGTGATGAAAGATGGTAAAAAAGTTGGCAGTCTTCGGCGTGACATTGCAAAATTGCTGACCCCAGTTATGGATTCGCAAGCTGCTACAAAATATTTTATAAAGCCAAAATAACGTGATTTCACCACTCTCCCAGGTACGGTTGCTACATATTGCAACATTGGTTTCATTGTCGACGGCGCTAAAGCCGATCG